GTGCCTTACCCACGACGTTTACCTCATGGTGGAGGCAATGGCACGCTGGCACGGCTGGGAATGGGAACACGGCGCAGCGAATACATGCAGAAGCGGAACAGAAGCAACACCCCACCGATGTCGGTCCACTCCGGATCCGACGAATGACAGTTTCGACAATGGCACCCCCAAGGCCAAAGACGCAGCCAAGTCCAACGTCGGGGCGCCAGGTCTGTGTCTCGCTACGATACCCTTGCTAGCCGCAACAACTAAAACGAGCCTAACGTCCGCCGTGCACACCCTGCTGCCTTTTCCCAGAATTCGCTCCCGCTCCGGATGAATTCACCGTCGCATGGGTGGGCTGCGCGAGGCACTTGACACTTTGCTACTCAGGGACATGGCTCCTATGTATCCTTGGCTGGCTGGCGGAAGCAGAGGCTGGCAAATCCCAAAGCTGCCTACGAACACCGCTCTTCAGCGCCGCATACCTGGATCCCAATTTCGCCGACATTTCTGACCTGTCTCAGAGAGGAGGACCGTTTGTAACGAGCAACCCATCGTCACTACGGACACCTCGTTCTTGGGAGGAAAGGCGGTGTGGGACATTTCTCACGGACACTTTACCTACCACGGCAGACGACCGCCCACGATCTACAGCAATTCTGAACAGATACACATACTCCCTGGCTCATCAAGCACAGAACATGGGCGCGTTTGAGAAGACCGAGGCTTTTCATTTCGCCTGCAGACTGATGAACGAGTTGCAGGTAGAGGAAGCCACGGACAACTTACAAGTTGGAAAAGATCGACTTTGTCCGCAGCCGCGGATAGCGAAAAACAGCAAACGCATAGGTACTCCGTACACCGAATGATATCCCAAAATCTCAACACCAAAGTACCGCCGCAAACGGCGCCCCTCAATACTCGATGCATCATTTCCTCGTCCCAAAAACTTTGGAATAACCTTTCCCCCTTGCTGGGGCTCGCCGCAACCTTCATCTCAGTGAGATACAGCTTGGATTGGCAATGCGCTGTACCAACTTTTCTGCCATGTTTTCACCCCCAGACTGTGATTTGACAGGCAACGTGGTCCAGGGCAGTGGACCAAAAGAGCCGTAGATCTCCAGGGGATTGACTCGCTTGTCATCTCTCTCCCACCAGATGAGGTGCACATGGGCTTCGAAGCGTGGCCGCAAGCTACCGGATCTCTGTGCGATCTTGGGTTTACACCTCGATCTCGAACCCATCCACTTCACTCCTACCTAGGCTGCACCCTCGATGGTATGACCCGCTGTTGACATACGTGCTGCATGTGATGGCCGTGGCCAGAAGCATCATATTGTACGATTTCCCTCGCCGATCTTGCTCATCAAAACCGGCTTGCCACAATTGTCTCCCCGCCGACCCGGCCAACTGTTGAAGGAGCAATCCAAGATCCTGCGTGCGCTTGGCCGACGAACCACCAACACTGACACCACCACCCACACTTCACCCCGCAGGCACGGAGTCCCGAACACTCCTCATGTTACACGACCCGGCCGAGATCGCGGAGACGGCTACGGTAACGTCAGCGTTTGTCCACCGTTCGGCCGTCCACCCAGATGGCGATGTGTTAATGCCAGGAACCGTAGCGGGGTAACGCCTGAAATGCCGCAATCTCGATACTGCATGGTCGGCTGTCCATCACTCTTCACCGGCCCACCTGTGGATACACATGGTTCTGCACACGAGCCGATATTTTGTCCCTCGGGTAGGAGATTATTACAGGTTCCGTGCCTTATTGCTATTGAGCCTTGTGGCTCCTTAACTCTCTGGCTGCATATCCGTAGTCCCTCAATCATCACAAACCACAAATGTTATTTGGGAAGCCCTAGATTCTAGCGGAACGCTCCATAACCCAACAGCAATATCGGCCACCCATGAACTCCCCAATTGCGAAGGGCCTGGCATACCCTCACAGGAGCTACTCGCAGAGCCTGCTTTCGAATGCCCGAGAAGGCATCTGGCTTCAACGCTTATTACCAATCATTCTTGGTTGTTCTCGACATACAGGTATAGCGGGATGGAAAGATGCCTTGCTGAGCAACTCCAGGGCTTATACGCACTACTTGGCGCTAAAGCCGAATTATTCTGGACGGGTACGTAATGTCTTCAACGCCGTGTTCGCTTCGAGCGAATGACTCGGCGCCAGCCGATCTGAGAGCTTCGGACCGGACTCGCCCAGGATGAAGCCTAGACGCGGTGTTAGGTAGAGAGGACATTGCCGAAGTAGGCCCAATACCACAAGGGGTTGCCCTCAAACAGCCTCTGCACAACGACAGTCCATGATGCATGCATGAGGCATGATTCAGACTAAAGGAGGCCCAGAGCCAGCAGTTCGGACGACCTTACGAATGAAGTAACGCTGTGGATGACGGACAACATTGGAAATGTAGGTGCTAAAGGGGCGCACGAAACGAATACCTACACCAACGAAGACAACCTTCAACAAGGAAGAAGCAGCCACTTGAGGCCTAGTGATGATTTAGACTTAGGTCAGCTACCGTGGCTTCGAGCTTTCAAGATCCATCCTCCGTACGCCCAAAAGCTACAAGTCGCTCGGTGACTCGGGCTTTGTCGGGGGCTGAGGGCAAACGTGGCAGGCGGGAGCGCACAGAGGACCCTGACCCTAGCAAGGATCGTGGAAGGTTTCTAGAAGACGGTTCGGGCTGAAGAATGAGGCGCACGGGAATCGCCCCCGTCCCTCTCATCAATACCTAGGAGTGAGGACGGGCCTTCACTAATTTACTACGTAGGAGACCTTGACCTGGTCTGTGATTTTGTTTGCCATAATGGCACACGAATCCGTAGACTGTGTATTACGACGGAGTAATCCATCACCCAACCAGCGGTGAGAATTACGGGGCGCATCTGTACTCTGTATGCAACGCATAATAGCGAGGACCCTGAATCGGGGCGGAAGCTCTGTTGCATGTGGATATTGGTAGACTGCATGACTTGGACCCTGAGTATCTCTCGAAGCTTTGAAACAGAAGAGCACCCGAAACTCGACGAGAGTTAAGCTACGGAAATTTGGCCTCCTATATTCTCGCGCCAATGCACCACCGGCACCACCACTACCACGCTGGAAAGGATTTGGGTTTTGCCGGTTTGACGCAGTCATGAGATGAGTTTCTACTCACCGCCTCTGAATGCTCGTCCACACACCGCCAAGATGTGTTGTTGGACACTTTCTGCGCTGAACATTTACTTCAGGCCAGTCTTGCGAATCTGTGAAGCTTGCTCAGAAACATCACGCACTTTTCCCAGGCATCTCCAAGCGCCGCGCTTTGCGGGGAAGACGCCCAACACGGCGCGGGAATGGACTGACAAACACATAGATGCGATTCCTTTTGCTGCCTAGCACCAGTATGAAGCAAGAGGCAATGCATGGCCTTGGTAGCCAGCTGTCATCTTGCTAGAAGCCATTCTAGTTGTTCCGAAGCGTCGTTCAACATGGCTTGACCCTGAGCCCCCACTTGCGAGAGGAGAACAACTCATAGCCATGGCAGGGCGGTCAAGGGCTGGGAAGAAACAACAACAACCACGACAAATTATTTCTAGGGCGACCTCGGAACAACCCTTCATGCGCACTCTGGTACTACAATTACAGGATCGCCTTTGCCGCATGCGCCTGGCTAGCGCACAAATCAAATAAAGGAGAATGGCAAAATGGTATAGGCGAGTGAGAGTGGTGTCAGAAATGCAGATTACCAACATCAGGCCACTCCCATCCTTACAGAGAGCATCTGGCGAGTATTCGTACCTTGCTTATTCGTGTCCAACGGCATGTGCGTACACGGATATTATGGGGCGCCGGGCTGAGCGTTCGGGCGCGGCCGGTGAGTGAAAGGGGCCGTTCTACGGGGAGACTTCGCTGTCAAAAGGGGTCGCCCTCGGCAGGTCGGATTCGATGGACTTGGAAGGCAGCATTTCTTGCCGGGCGCTCAGGCCCGACCAACGCGGAGAGAGAGTTGACCCAACCCGAGAGCGGCGTCCCCGTCATCAGGAAAGCGGTGGACATAAGTCGGCGATCTCCAGGTCCGCAGCTGAATGATCCCCGATACGCGAGTATTTCCACTGCAGCAGTCTGCCTGAAGCCTCGGGGGGGACAAGGCGTTCGGCGTTTGAAATCCCATAATTTACTGGAGCCTCGAGCAAACGGCGAAAATAGGGAACTCTCTGGCAAAGTGGTCAGACTGACGACCGATGGGAATGTGCGGCGCCTCGTCCGGTTTTTTTGTGTCTCTGAGGGATGTGACAGCCAATCAGAAGAGATGAAATTGTTCCCTCACGGCTTACTCAGCCAGTGCGGAAATTTCTCGGTGTTTGTAGAGGTGAGTGATTCCGCGGAGGGCTCTAGACTGAGAGAGAGCCCGGCCGCTGAACAGCCGCTTTGTGGTGCCGCGAGGCGTTACTGAGAGCAGGGCCAGCACTTGCGGGACGGCAAAGACCGGACAACAAGGGTCCATTACATCATGCCGTAGCGACGACCTCATGGCACGATTCTGGGTCCCATGAGAGCTTTTTTCGCCCACGCGGCGTCCCGTCCACCAGGTTTTCAATCGCCGTCTGCATCTGTCATCAACTTTGACAATTCCATTCATTGGATATAAGGCCATTGACACCTTCTTCAGCCTCACTATTCTCAGCTGCACAGAAACATCCATCAAAAATTTCAAGACCGCGATTCACTGAGACCATTGACCTTAGCGAAAACGAGCAAAGGTAGCTTCGAATCCCGATCCGTCATCCATCCGTCACCAACCACCACGTAATTACGACACTACTATCCCCACGACCACCACCGCCGGCTCAGATCCCGACAACACCAAAACCTACAAGGCTGCGCACCTAAACAACTCTTTTTGCAGCTTCAGTTCTTTTTCCCCCATTGAGGAACAAATACCTGTTCCTCCCTCTGCGATCCGAAAGGTCCACACCATTTAACACACCACAACCACCCCGCATAAACCGCAATCATGAAGGTCCTCAGCAAAGAAGAGGAGGCAGAGCACTACAGCGTCGTTGTCAAGGCCGGCCTCATCGGCGGCACGGCCGGTCTGGCTGTCGGACTCGGCGGCGTCCTCTTCGCAAGCAAGCGCTACCCTGCCTTCCGTCAGCTCACCCTCCCCTTCCGCTCCTTCCTCGTCACCTCGTCCGCGACCTTTGGCGCCATCGTCCACGCCGACCGCGAGTCCATCCGCTTCGGCAAGGAAAAGGACCCCATGTACGGCTACAAGGACGCGACGGCGCGCGCCATCGCCGAGGCCAAGGCCAACGAGACGGAGATGCAGAAGCTCAAGGAGTGGGGCCGCGAGAACCGGTACTCCATCGTCTTTGCGTCGTGGCTCGCGTCCATGGGCGTCGCGCTCGCCATCGTCGGCAAGGACAAGTACCTCACGGGCGCGCAGAAGCTCGTTCAGGCTCGTGTCTACGCGCAGGCCCTCGCCGTCGTCATGCTTGTCGTGACCGCCGCCTTTGAGATGCAGGACGCCAAGACGGGCGCCGGCCGCTGGGAGACGGTTATGATTATCGACCCCGAGGACCCGGAGCACAAGCACCTCATTGAGAAGAAGATTCACAAGGAGGAGTACGAGGGCCAGGACCTATGGAAGGGTACGTTAACATTCCCCAGGCTTATCTCCCCGAGCGGGTGATCAGCCGATCCCCACTCTTGTTACCGGAGCTCATTACTGACATTCTATCAAACAGACATGGTTGCTGCCGAGGAGCGCCGCATCGCTGCCCGCAAGGCTTCCGAGCAGAAGTAAACATTTCTAGAAGCATTACTCGACTTATCACCCATCCATCCACCTGTTCCATGAACCCATACAGGGTTCAATGTACGAATTATTTCCTATGTCTTTCGCAGAGCAAAGTTCCCCACGGAGCAGGGAGATCAGCTTGGCGGATGATTTTCGTTTTGCATTGCCGGCGTTATATTTACATAGGGAGAAAAGTGTCGATGACCGGGCCACGGCCTCGTCGTTCAACACCCATTGATGATTGTTCGAATGTCACTGTGAGAGAGCGACATTGGCAAGCGAGAAACTAGATGTCTGATATATCAATCCGGCGGTGTAGCAAGTCTTTGCCAAATACAATTTCTACTTAATTCACCTTCTGGTCACAGCTGCCAATGCGGTCCCCGTGTGAGTAATTGCAGAGAGGCAAGCGATAGCCCTTCTCTGCACACGTATAATCAGACCACTCAGGTGGCGTGATACGACCATACACCAGATCCGTATATGCCCGCTACTCCCCCAAGCAATTATGAATCCGAAGCCACCATTCTTCTATTTTCGATGCCCGTTATCGGTTTCGTTGCCATTTACCTAGAGGGATCGCAGGGGAACGGAAACACCAGCTACTTACCCAGAACACGCTAGGCTACGGTATTCGTACAGCGGAACATCGAGACGAGAGAGGGGGGGGGGGGGGCAAGCTCCCGTGATCCTTGGCGGAGCGCAACCCACCCCTCCTTTTCCTCCTCCTTGCCTTCCTTGCCCTCCGTCTCCTCCGTCCTGGGACCTCCGACGGTAACTTTTTTTCTTTGCTACTCCAAGTCCAAGAATACCTACTCCAACTCCCTCTACGTACTTGCCTCGACTCACTCACAAAAAAAAACGACTCCAAATGATCATCGAGAACAACTCCCTTGCTGGAATGACGTACCTCCCCGCATCAAAAACCCCATCCATCCATCCATTCATCCATCCGCCCCCTACTCGCGCAGCAAGCGGTACGGGCCAGGCCAGACACCGAAAGATTCGCGAGTCAGTCCAAAAAAAAAAAAAGGACGAGTTGCGTTTGTCGATCCGGCATCCCACGATTGGGTGATGTACGGATACAAACAAGGGCAACCACCACCCGATGTTACATACTAAGTATATCCGTAGTTGAGAGAGATCTCATAATTACGGATTCGTCACGTCACGTCACACAATGATAGATAAGCGAAGAGGACACGAGAGCAGATCCCAACGCTCAGCGTCTCTATCCCTCTGATGTGAAAGGGCCAGATATGTTCAACAGGTATATAGGATAGGTAAATAAAAACAAAGGATAACGCATGCCTGCCTGCCCACCTGCCTATCCATCGCCCACCTAGGATTGTAATAAAGCCGTTCCGTCATCAAGCATAGGTAGATAACTGTAGATAAGAAGCATTGCTGCTTTGGAAAACGACGCACGAAATTTGGGGTGAGGAGAAACAGATTAAACCAGATTACGGTATATGGCAAAGATGCTGTTGAAAAAGCAAGAACAACGGCAGGCTCCCAGCTTCTTCCTTGAATCTTAGACCTCAATAGTGAAGTGGCTAATCTGGGAATAATACGCGTGCACAGCCAGTTCCAACATCCAGACATCGCTAAACACTTCGCTGCCGTCAAATCCACCAATGATGAACAGACGGCTATCGTACAGAACGGTGCCGTGATATCCACGGCCACTAGGCGGCAATCCATAGACGCGCCGACGATCCCACGTCATGGTAACGAGGTTAAGCAGCAGGACATCGTTGGAGTACTCGTTACCATCGTGTCCACCAACAATGAATAGATAGGAGCCGACGAGGGTGGCCGTATGTGATAGGCGGCGGTAGGTCTGCGGGATGGACACGGCTTTCCAGATATGGGCGTCGACGTCGTAGACCCACACGTCGTTGAAGCACTCGCCGCCATCGGAGCCGCCAAAGATGATCAGCTTGCTTCCCACCATGTTGGCGGTGTGGTAGCCGCGGGGCTTCGGGCGAGTCTCCCGGACGCCCGGGGGCGGGGCCCGCTCCGGCCCGGAGACAAGCTTCCATGACATCTTGTTCATATCGCTAACGTCGAGGCGCCAGACATCGTTGAGAGCGCGAACCCCATCACCGCCTCCAAAGATGTAGATGCCGTTCTTGTAGAGGCAGGCTGTGTGCGCGCGACGTTTGGAGGGGACACGGTCGCCTATAATCTTTGGCCGGTGCCACCTGAAATTTGTCGTGTCTAGAACGTATATATCATTGTAATAGGCGGGCCCATCGCCACCGCCAAAAATCACCAGCTTTTTGCCGACAGCTGTGCAGGTCATTGCGCGCAGTGGCACAGGGATCTCGCCGGTAACGTGCGGTACGGACCAGTAGAAGGCATCTGCATCAAAGACGTAGAGCTCGTTGAAACAGGCGCGTGAGTCGCAGCCTCCAAACACAAATATGTTGGATCCGACAAGCGTGGTCGTGTGAGCGCGAAGTGACGTATGGGGAGCCCCTGAGACGGGCGCTCGCGACCAGTACATGCCTGATGATGGGGCCGGAGGTACATCTGGCGCAGTCTTTGGGTCCTGGAGGGGCGGAAAGGGGATATGTTGACCTTTGGGAGCGGATCTTGAGGATACTGTCGTCGAGAGCTGGCGCGTTGAGGATGACGAGAGAGGGAGCGAAGAAGGCTTTGCGGCTATGGCAGATGTGGAGCGCATGGCGATAGGGCGGCGGCCGTCACGGTCGGAGCCGTGGCCACCGGTAGATTCGGAGCCATCGTTGCTGTTCAGCGTCGTGGCATCGCTGGCAGTATTGCTCGGCCGGAAGGACGGTGGCGGAGGCCTAGGGGTATTCGCGCTCGTGGGTGTCGTACGAGACTGTTGTGAGGCCTGGGCCTGGGACGCCGACTGGGAGCGCTGGCGAATGGAGAGTTCGGAAGGTTTGCGGCGACGGTCTTGACTCTTGGAGGCAAGGTGACCGGGCGTATGGGAACGCGAGATTATGGGTCCTCCCGGAGCGGAGGGAACACGGCGGTGCTGCTCGATGTCGCGGTCGCTGAAGTCCTCGAGATCGTCGGGAACGCCTGGTGGTGGGGGCCGGGAATCGTTGGGCGGAGAGATCTTCTGAGAGCGTACAACCTTGGACTTGAGGGGGGACCGGGGGTTCTTGTCCGAGGACCTGGCCGAATCAGCCATGGTTCGGCGGGGGAATAGTCATTGCCCCCCTCTCGCGAGGATGTGGATGATTGCCCGGGGGGTCGGTCTTTGGGACAAGGCGATTGCGGTTCGAGGGAGGGAGGTGGTGTGGGAAGAGAGGGCAGAGAGAAGGTAGTATATCGGGCCAATTGGCGAGGCAAGGTCGTCGGGAGAGCGGTGATTCGGGAGCAGGCTAACGGACGTGCGTCGAGGGGGCTTCGAGGCTTGAGTCGAGGGACAGATTTGTTTACTTGGGTTGCTGAGGGTTGTGTTGCAGTTGCTGTGTCGTTGGATGACTCGGGGCTTGTGTGGTCTGCTGTGAGGTATGGTACGTGTAGTTTGGTTGCAGAACGCCAGGTAGCCGTAGTAAGGTAGAGGAAAGAATTGGAGCCTAGCCGCAGAGAAGAGATCCACTTTCGTCTTGTTCGCAAGGTCGGGTCCCAAGGAAGGCTCTAGTGCTTGTAGTAGGCGCTGGTAGTGGTATCTGTGTTGCAGGAAGTAGGTCGGTACAGTTGCTGGCGCTGGCCCTGACAAGAAGGCAGAGGGGAGGGCGGGCGGACGTGGGCTGGCGCTGGCAGGGGAAGGTGCGTCGCACGACCTCGGTGACGGGGCCTTGTTAGTGCGATCACTGCTAGGCCTCGGGTAGGTTAACAATAAGGTACAGACAGGCAGGTGTGCCCCCCATGTCAGCTACGGGATACTAGGTATGCTTTAAGCCTTGAGATGAGGTAATGAAAGGTACTTTGCTGGAGCAGCATCCATCGGCTCCGTCCCTTCCCTGGGCTGAGATTGGCGGGATCCGAGGGCTAGAAGGCCCAGAAGGGCTGGAAGGGCTAGCCTCTGGTCCCTGAGCAATTCCGCCCACGTATCACAACTCTCGTTAAGGCATCCCCCTCGCCAAAGCCAAGCACAGACCACTGTCGGCCCCTGCATTGGCCTGCTGTGCTTCTCGAGCCTGCCCGCAACCTGCCGCTGTCTTGCTGTCACGGTGTCACCTCAGGGCATGGTAAGGCAGTTCGCCCAGGGTGGGTGTGATTGGTCGCGTGAGGTCACAGGTGATCCTCTCCAGCTGGCAACTACCAATTACTTCACACGTGTTCTAGATGCTCAGCGACATGTCCGATCATGTATGAAATTCCAAGTCATTGTGAACGTCTAATACTTCGAGACAGTGTCTCTCCTCGGATTCATTCTCACAAATTCGGGTGAGCTCTGGGCTTGGCTCTGCGCATGAAAGTAACCAGCATGTAATCATGGGGGAAAACAAGATCGCACACAGTCACACCCCGCAGTCAGGATCTTGAACATATTTCTTATAAGGATACAATGTGACATCAAAGTAATTTACGGACGCCGGGCGACCAAGATGTCTCCGTAGAAGCGAAAACATGATGTGTTCAGTGAAATTGAACTCAAATTGAGAAATCACCAGGTCTCAGTGACCATTTTCCAAGGAAATATCATCACCCACAGGGTACACCTCACTAGTGAAGTGTCCCGTTATCCGACGTTACAAGTACTATATATATCTTCAAGTCCTGCCCAGCAAAGCTTGAAGGGAATATCCTAATTTCGAAACATGCCTCGCGGGATTGCACCCCGACCCTACTCATGGCACTCACTGTCTTTGAGCACCATTTCGCAGCTAATGGGCTCATCATAGATGGTGGAGAGCATCGACTCATGTTGACAATGGATCCATTCATAGTTAGCTAGTTGAACTTACTGAAGAATGCACAATTTAACAATTACAGCCCAAGGTTGCTCGGTCTGATAGAACCGAAGAAGCGACTAATTTCGAAAGGGCCCCCAGGAAGCCATGGGATGTTCAGCTGCAGCTTCTCATCTACTGCCGGCCGGGGTTTGAACTCAGATTTGGACTAAGAGCCAAAGTGAGACCTGATGTTTTCCATGTTTTCTCTTACCTTAGTTTAGCGAAAGCTCTGACATGTCTCGGTATTCACCAGGCTCTTTTCCCAATTCAGCTCTCGATATTTCGACTTCACGGCATAACCGAGCTAGCACCTAATTCTTCGTGCCGACGAGGAGAACTTCTGCCCAAGTTCTGCCCGCCGCCATCACCCACTTGCTCGGGCTTTGAAGTGATAACAAATCGGGATTCCTATCGGGATATACCCATCTTTTGCCGAAATAGCATGCTTTGTATGAGTAAGTGAACCTTCACTTTAGCCGACAACAGCATTTCGGGAGTCTGGAGAGAGGTTGGCAGGCAAGCTGCGAGTGAGACTCCGCAACCAACTCCTTTGGCCGGCGGCGCGGGGCCGCGTCCATTATCCACAACGTCATCTCATAGTTGACGGGTTACACAACAAACCTTAACCATTTCGAAGCCTTTCCCAATCGGAACGGGCAGGCAAGTCGTGCCGCTCTCTTGGGTGTGAGCTTCGAGACTCCCACCGGGAGTCCGGGGGAACTAGGCAAAAAGCAAGATAAGAAGCGACTCTGCCTTATTGAGACGACAGTGACGCAATTCCCATCTGGAGGGGTTAATCAAGGAAGTTGCTACATTGTGCGTTTTTTGGCGATTCAAGAGAGGGGTGTGAGTAGGTATGTTTGCGTGACCTGCTCACAACCGTCCAGAGACCGTCTCGACTCTTCATACGAAAACGGTGAGCATACGAGGTCAGGAGACCCGAGAAGAGCTGTGTTGCCAGCCGCTCGGATAGGACCCCTTGCCACCCAAGACAGTCCATTCCCGGGGGTTGCTGGGAACATCGGTTTCCTGGGATAGACTTGAAGCGAAAAGGCGATGAGGAGTTTGTGAGGGGTTTAGCGGAGTTTGGAGTCAGTACGGCAAGGGAAAGCTGGAAATTTGGAGTTCCATTCCCCATGGCTTTTGAGCTGCAATCCATATTCGTAGTCTTGTCCGATGCACGATACACGATTCAAGTCCCGGATCTTTTTCCTGCCTGCCACCCTGCCAAGACCGGGGGTTGAGGGAGAGCGAGAGAGGGAGTTCTGGCCTCCGGGCCATACACGTGTGCGAAGCGGCCTGCGTGTTGTTGAGGGGGAAATCCCCACGATATCCCAGCCCCGAAATCTGTTTGATGGGCATTTGGAGCCCCCGTTCCGATGTGATATCTGATTTGCGTCATTACCTCGCCAGCTCTGACGAGTATGACGAATCGAACGACGAGAACCGGGGGCCATGTTGCACTTCCGACGAACGATTCGGATCTCTTCCTGGAAGATTATCTCCTAATCTCCTTTCCACGACTCAAGATTCACAATCGCATCAAGCTATTCCTGCGCAAGGCGTCCCACTGATATTCCTGTCTCACATACGAGAGAACGGACAATCGCAAGTTCAAGAAGATCAGATTAGGCAAGAGGAGACGGTACCCGAGCAGACAGCCAAGACCAAGATGTATCGAGTACATCGACGTGTCGCCATGCAAGATGTACCGTCTACTTCTGAGGCTATAAACGAGGCCCCCGAACGTGCCCAGGGGGTCTACCCTAGGCAGAACATCTTCCCAAGAGTCGATGAACTACAAAAGGATCGATCAACGTCATCTTTACCCACACCCTCCTCGAAACATTGGCACTACAGTACCATGCCAGGTGGGCGACACCTTCGGTTGCCGCTCTATAGGTACCCTCCCTAGCGCTTATCCTATCACTCCTATCATTCCTGTTGACCTTGTTCCTCTCCCTCTTGTTCCTATTCCTATTCCTGTTATCACTGTTCCTCTTCTTTTCTCAAAGAATTCTCAGATGAATGTAAAAGATAAAGTAACAGTAGAAATAACAGGAATAAAAAGAATAACAACATTGTGGACAAGAAGCAGGTAAGTAAGTAAGTAAGCATGGTAATCTTTTGTTGGCCATTAACCCATTTTGTCACTTGCATGCCCACCATCCCACTCCCGGTTCTCCGGGGGTTTAATGCCGGTGGGTAGCGTGGTGACAGATCACGGTAATGGGTGGCCGTGGTGTCCGTGGTTGGTGAGAAGGGAGGGGTCACTGGTTAGATTGAGATCCCCAACACCAGGGTAATGTCTGCCCGTGGACCTGGGTGCCTGCCATTCAGTCGAGCTACTTTTTAGACCGGTGCGGCAGGCAAGAAAGACGGACTAGTCCATGGAACTAGGTGCGTTAGACAAGATTTCAAAAAAGCCAGAGAATCCCAAGACTGCAACGCCAAACAAATGACCGCCCAGAAAACGCGAATTCATTGGGGGCTGAGACGAACTGGTCGGGTTTCTGACATGGGATGCGAGCCGTGCCATGACTCGCTCGAGGTCGTATCTCGGAAGACGTTCGGTCGGTAGACACGCCGATGTTCGGGGGTTGTGGTCGGCCGGTGCTGTGGGTCCGCTAGGCGCTAAGCCCGCTTGGGTGACGGGCTATTGGTGGGGGCCCGCAGGTTGAGAGCTACTCAAATGAGTTTCTGTGAAAGATTCCCATCAACATCCGATATGGTGTAGTGGCCAACATGATGCCCTCTCATCTCAATGAGAGGTTAGGCATAGCCCCGAGTTCGATTCTCGGTTTCGGAACTTTTGCCGGTTGAAGGCATTCCAGCACCCCTTTTTGACATATTCGTCTCCGGCCAGAGCAGACATTTGACGTAGTTTGATGAATACAACCAACAAATTCTTTTGACTGTGTTCGCGACTCGATCTCAAGATCCTCTTTTTGCCCCTGACATGAAACCACTATCACCAGCCTCTAGTGACAGCTCCAACATGAGCACCCTCACCACCAAAACATAGCACATGCGACCACACCCACTCGAGAACTCGGGATCCCGTCCGCTCTCCCATCGATAAACCAGTGAGGGCCGGAGTAGTAGTCGGGTCGGAGACGACCGGCGAATGCCCGGTGTTGCATGTATTTCTTTTACTCTTCCTTTTGTTTTGTAGCTTTTGTGTACGGTGGGGGATCTTATTGCGCAGTTCCGAGGGAAAGGGCGAGTTTCTTTCTTGGTGGTCGTGGGAGAGGGAAGTGGGGAGCCCGTCTCGTCGTCAAATGCTCGAATGTTCATCATCGTTGCGGCTCTATGCCAGGGAAAGCTGCGTCCGCTGCCGACTGCCTCGTAACATAAGACCGGGGATAATCTAGTTACTCCCGGGACATGCGAGAAGGCTTGAAGATACTACGAACAAGTGTTCTCCGCCTCCGAGGATGACATTGGGCGGTTGGGTTCATGCCATCATGTAAGGAGTTCTTGGGAAACATTGATAGCTTGGTTGCTAGAATGGGCTATGACTGGGAAGCAGTATGAACACACGAAAGAAACCTGACAGCCGTAACGCCAGCCTGAACGATAAATCCACGAGACATTTGCCAGCTCATTCCTACATAACAGCACGACTTTCCTCAAGATCATAAGCAGAAACGCTCCAGACACTCTCGAACCTCCAAGCCCAACTCCGACCACTTGCTCTTCCTCGTCACGCGTTCTCCTACCGAGGCATCGTACGGAACAAAATATCCGTCGGCTGCAATCTTGACACTTTCTGACGGGACTAGCTTCGACTGTCTCCGCGTTGTCTTCCCGCTGTTGGGAGGAAGGAACTTGCCCCTAAAATCCTCTGTCATGTTCGATAGACGTGCCCAGTATTGCTGAGAAGACTCATGTGGCTGCCGCTCCCATCGTCCTGATATGACCATCTCGGCTTTGTGAATCCCGCTCCACGGCTTATAACATGTCGATAGGGAGGTTGATTCGTGGCAAAACTGGTCGAGCTTCTTCTGGTCGGTGAATCGATCTACGAGCAACCAGCGAAGGACCCGCGGTGAAGTAGCGGCCAGCTTCACTGCAGACCGAAAGTGGTTGTTTCCTTGGAAGGAGATGCTCGCGCCATGGCGAACGAGATAGATGACGGATTCTAAAGTTCCTGCGCTGGATGCTGCCATGAGTGCGGACCCCTCAAAACAGCCTTCAAAGTCTATCAGACTTCCCAAAGACAAAATGTTTTCCATGGCTTGTATTTGCCCTCTGGCTGCAGCGAAGCAAAGGGGATTCCGAGGACCGACGACCTCAAGATTCAGCAGCGTACGGAACTTTTGAGTTGATAGTTTTCGACGGTACAGCCGAAAGGCCGTTATCAGGCATGCTGCGTTGACAGCATCCGGGTTTAAAAACAAACTTGACCACGGAATAGGCCTTTCGTCCTGAATCTGGGCATTTCCATTCAGCAACAAGGCTGTCATACATTTGTTATGCATACTCAGATGAAGGGCAGAGCAGCCAAACATGTCGACTTCGCTTGGCTTGACACCCATTTGAGTGAACTTGATGAAGAGTGCGGGCCTACAGCTATCTCTTTCATTAGTCTCTCTGCTGCAGAAGAGATAGTGCAACACATTGCGCCCTTTGTGATCTTTGACCAACATATCTGGGTCCCAGTCCATTAGAGCTGAAATGGCAAGAGAGTTCCCCCTCTCACATGCCTGGGCCATTGGTGTAGCGCCAGTGTTGTTGCGACAGTTGATGTTGCTGCCAGCCTGGAGAAGAATTTGAATAACAACTGAATTGTCGACCGTAGCAGGCGCCGTTGTGACGAGGAGGAGGGGGGTGCGACCACAATTGTCTTTGGCCTCGAGATCGGCGCTATTGTCGACTAAGAGCTGAACAAAGAACACTTTGTTCTGCATTGCCGCCCAATGCAAGGCCGTCATATGTTGCCACTTTCTATTCACAGCCAACGCAAATAATGCCGACGAGTCTGCACCAACTTGCTCGCTACATCCATGTGAGTTGTTGAATCTCATCAACCTCGGAAGTTAACTTACGCATGATGCTTCCTATTTGCTTTCAGATGATCCAGAAGAATTACCAACCCTTCTTCATTCTTAGCCCTCACAGCCGTGGCCACCACACATCCTGATTCCCTCAGAATGCTACCACCGGTCGCAACATATCTCTCGAGCATTGCTGGTAATCCTGGATTCAAAAGGGGTTGGAAAATCATCGACAGGATGATGGAACTGTCGTTTCCGCAGGGGTAATTTGCATTTGCACCTTGTTGTAGAAGCCAAGTTACTATGTTCAGTTTCCCAAAGCGTACGGCGACTCCAAGAGCTGTAAGGCCCCCAAATATGGCAGGTATATCTATATCCACTGTCGGCAGTGACGCAAACATCTCCTGACAAGAAGAGAGGTTCCCAGCTTGGATAGCTCTAAAAACCCCTTTGGCAAGAGCTGCAGAACGCACACCGGCCGAGATCGCGCCGCACTGGCTCTTATCGTGGTCTCTAAGGCAGTCGATGATGTTTCGATCATTTCGTTGGTACGCCAATAGCAGCGGCGTCATTCCATCACGATCGGGTGTCATTTCACTGCCCAGTTCTAGAAGTCTTTCGACCGCCGCGAGATTGCCTTGAGCAACAGCAATATGCAGGGCTAATTGGCCATCAACTGACCTCGCGTTGATGTTTGCACCTCGAGCATGGAGGAGTTCAACCGCACTGATTTTCCTGCCCACCACTGCAAAGTGAACAGCAGTGTAACCATTCTCTGCCGGCGCTTCTAGACTGATAGAGACTACCTTCTCAAGGATAGTCTGTAGGCAATCGACAGAGGACATCGCTGCCTGGTGCAGCGGTCTTATGCCTTTATACCGTTGAGTATTACTCTGACCTTCCCAGTCAATTTTCCAGATCGGGTCGCTGTGCTTGAGAATATCGGACAAGAAAGACACGTTATCACGTGCAATCGCCGCATGAATCGCTGTCCATCCAGATCGGCAAGGGATTGTGGGATCCGCTCCTTGATGGAGGAGGGTAGCTGCTAAGTCAAAATGTTTCTTAGACAAGTGGTAAACCAATGCCGATGATCGTGGCCAGATACTAATCCGCAGATCTGGAATAACACCACGCCCTAGAAGCATTTCAACTATCTCATGCCTAAACCACGGCACATCCTTCTCATTAGAGAGATGAATTAATCCCAAGCCGGAAGTTGGGTTTGTATGGTTCAAACATACGGGATCTGCGTGATCAAGAAGCTGCCATACCCTGGAATTGTCGTCTTCAAGGCCCGCTGGTAACGCGCAAATATATTCCAAGGTGGACACCCCTTTGCAGCGTCGATGAACACCAATGCCTCGTGCTAACAACCGATCTACTGTCATGCTGTAGTTGAGAGTGGAAGATACTTTCAGAAGTTCAACGGCATAAAGTGACTCTTGGAAGCTGTTCCAGTAGGTTGTGGCCTTCAACAAGAAAGACAGCGTGTCGTCCGTGAGAGGAAAGTACTCGATGGCTCTGGGGTCTACCAGCCACTCATTCGAACAGGCTTCAGCGATCGGTAGAAGCGCAGAATTCAAACGATCTTTCTCGTAAATGTCGAATATGCCAACGCGTGCCAAACACCTGGCTACCTCATCGATGTACTTGGGAGCAAGGCCTGCGCTCTGCAGAATTCCTGAAGCGTAGTACTCCCACATTCTTGATGCTTCAAGAGAATTTGAGAAGGTTGCCAGCGGCTGAATGAGATACTCCAGCACCTCTACAGCTGGCGAGATGAAGGATGGTGATTCAGTCAAGATGGCATTCATGTAGAATTCCCATGGTAACTTTTCATCGCTTCGACGCTGCCTTCCACCCGGAACCAGCGTGTCCAGCTTTTCTACCATCGTTAGATCTGTATCGTAATTCAAACAATGCAATGGGTTTTTGTGTTCGTAGTCGGCCAGGTGAACTTCTAGACCCATACTAATGAGTAGGTCTAAGATCCCCTCAGAGCCTGATTCAGCAACTAACAACAATATTGGAGTCTGGCATTCCCAGGCCATCGGCTCGTTTTCACACCTCTTTAAGATGGTCATGGCGAAGCCAACCAGTCCCTCCTTGATTGCAAGCGTCAATGGCGTATGTCCGTCTCTGTTGCGCTTGGACAGGCTACAGCCGACGCTCAACAGCAAGTCCAAGATTTTCTCAGCCTGGACGGACCAACCAGAGTCTTCACTTGTCCTTGCCCAACAATCATTCCCTGAGCGGACCAGTGTATGCAACAGCCCATCTTCCTGACCAGGGCTTAGAATGGATGAAACATCCACTCGTTGATCATCAACTACTTTCTGCAACACAGTGATATCGGAGGTCCAGCGAACTACATCAAATGCCCATGTCTCCAGGCTACGTGCATCATCAGTAACTTTGGAACTGATGTTGTAACTTTCGAGATCAGTGAGACTTGGGGTAGTCCGCAGGCAATATTCCCACGCCGACTGACAAAACTCAAGATGCAAGGGCGAAGTATCAATTCCATGGCTAAGCGCTTCGCAGAACTTGCACAGTGATGGCAGATGTTTCTCGCCCCAGTAAACTTCGTCATTATCCATTGTCGTTTTCATGAATGTTTTGAAATAGTCTAGGTCGCTTTGTGTGGGAACAAGACCTTTGTCGACGAGTAGCTGAGCGACCGAAAGGTTGCGTATGCTGATTCCATCTCTCAGAGAAACACGTAAAAGATCCTCTGGTGCTTGGAGATTCATGCCCAGAAACAATCCCACGGTCTCGATAGTATAAAACAATTCCAGACTGTCCGTTCCTGTGTAGCGTTGAAACCATGCCAGTTTGTGGTTGTCTAAGTCATCGTCTAAGTAACAATAGTGCTCTAGAGCCCCGCAAAGACAACTTACAGCACACTTTATTGGAGTTCCAAGCATGCATTTGGTTTCGTGATGATCCGAAGTCTGTAGTAGGAATGAACTGATCTCTGGTAGTGACATAGTCGCTGCGAAGTGCAGTGGTCGGAAACTGTCGTGAATGACTCCCGCTATCGAATCAATTACCATTATGTCGATGCTTTCCTGACTGAACTCATCAAAAGCAGAATGCGAGAGATTTAAGACTAAAGTCACTACCCATGACGTGAATTGCGTGGATTTCTGCGGATCGAAGAGACGTTTTGCCATGGCTAGTAAATCAGGATGTGTCCATTCTTCTCTAGCGAAACACAACCAGTATTCCGCAGCATAACTGTAGAGACGATATTCATCGTCTCTTTGCTCCATGTAGTCGAGTTCCTCGCTTGTTGCCGTCGGTAGATGATCGAAGTTGTCGAGCTGAAGATATTCCAAACATCGCACTGCTAGGAGTTTGTTGCAGTGAGATTTAGTAATGTAAAACATCCCTAAACCGGATGATTGTAAAACGTCACTTGTCAAAAACTCCTGGACCGAAAAATGAGCAAATTCAAAGTATTTCCCGTCGTTTGACTTTCGAATCAGACTACTGCAATATCTGGCTATTGCGTCTTCCCTTATGATGCCAGATGGGCTTAGTTGCTGGCTAGTTGATGGTATTGAAAGAATTTCTCTCAATTGCTCAATGTCGAGTCTTGGCTCAGCGTAAGCGATGAAGTGCAGTGTCATCTGAACCTGGGTTTGTTTTGCTGGAGAAACTCTCCTCAAGATGCGCATGTAAGTCTCTGGGAGGTCGGGTGGGAGACTGCGCAGGGCCTCTCGACATTGCTCGTCAGAATCGCAGCCTCCAAGGTGATCCAGTTGACAGGCAACCCAGCGAAACCTAGCCAAATCCGAGTCAGCCAAATCTTAATGTTATACATTCCATGCTTAATCATGCTTACATTCCATGTGCCCCGGTCACGAGGCTCTCTAGAATCTCTGCTTTAAGAGAGAGATCGTCGAATACCAGCTTTCTGCTGCGAATACGTCGTTCAATCTCCGAAGTGAGAAACTCAGTGATGTCATCCGTGTGAGCTGCAATCTCTATATTGATAAATTTCTTCTCGGAATCTCGGAGGTGTCGTTGGATGTCGTCCTCGTCGCGACTAAGCAGCGCCATCGATAATTCGTCGGAGTTTTCTGCAATATCGCAGAGCGCCTCCACAACCTCCTCTGCGTGATCTCCGCATTCATCTAGGCCATCAACCACTATGTAGGTATGTTCAAAGACTTGACACATCCTCAAGATGGTTCGTCCTAGGTCTTCTGTGCTGGGAGAGCGAGGGAGTCCCTTGTCTGGATGGAGCTCCAAGTAATACTCTTCGAGCATCGAATACGCTTTCTCGCTCTGTATCGCCAATTGATACGCCAAGCCCCCAAGAATATTGACAGGGCTCTGCGTCGTCTCGTTCTTGTAGTCGCAAAAGAAAAAGCCTACAGCAACGGTATCTGAGCTTCTCGCAAGAGCATGGCCAATAATTGAGCCTGCGAGTACCGTTTTTCCGGCGCCGGGAATGCCGCTCAACCAGAGTCGGGACCCTTGGGTGCGAAGCCATTGCTGGAAAGACGAATGACGTTCAAGCCACATGCCAGTCCTCGGGTGTCGTAGCTTTACACTCATCTCGTAATTTGATTGCGGATTGTATCTCAGGAAGAAGTCTAGGATTCGCCGTCTTCTGGTATCCTCTTGGATCCGTACTGCAATCTCTTTGGTTTTTTGAACATCGGCTAGTATTGCAGTCGCGGCTCGTTCTCTTTCTTCCTCTTTAGCGAGACAACGCAGTAATGCCTCCAATGAAGTAGCTGATAACGCAAGATTCATGTTCTCCTTGTGTCGCGATAGGTCTGCGAGCATTTCCTTGGTCTTCGAAGAAGTGTAAGGCCAAAACAGTTTCTTGAGTCTTCCTCCTGATTTGTCTTCGTACTTCTTCGTCTTGTTGACAATCTCGGATAGGATCGCTGCACAACCGTCAACGTGGTGCATTCGGAAGCCCTGAATGGGAGACTCGTCCTCCGCCTCCAGGGAGGTTGCCAATCGCGACAACATGTTGACAGTGCCCCCAACCAAATTGACTTCTTTGCATAGATCGCTGATCTCTTTCTCGGCATTCTTGACTGACTTGATATACTTGGACAAGCGCAGAAAGACGATGTCCGCAAGAGAGAGGAGCCCCGCAATGCTTGCGGCGATGCTCAAGGGGTCGGCCATAGCAGAGCAGCCAAATGATTGAAACGGTTGTCTGAAAACTGCTTGTGATCCTCAAGCCGACGTTGGGCACGTTGTCGAGGACGGGTTCCGAGCGGACACTCGACGTTCGACGGACGATGGGAATACTGAAAAGATTCTGTTCGGGTTCATTTCTCCTCCCCAGGCACCCATGCAAAGATATCGGGGGGCCTCGGACTTAGAAGTGCCACAAAAAGCGCAACCGCCCTCGTAACGCTCGACATGTTGAGGCGTCTGGTCCGCCATCGTGCAGGCAGGCTGTGTGTTGGTTGCTGTAGGCTGTCACACAGTTTTGATAATCATTGACAGATTTTTCGACTTCCCTACATTAGAAAACAGCCATGAAGTGTTGCTACTACGTGGCTGCATCTTCGTTGCTGCAGGCTGCATCTTCGTTGCGGCAGGCTCTACAACGCAAGGCGGTTTTGGAAGACAACCCATCCAATGAGACATCCAGCGCTGAGTGATCGTAACCCCGCCGCAACCTTAGCACATGCAGTGACGACAGGTCTGGGCGAATCTGCCTCTCGCTGAGGACGCTGGCCACGTATCCGCAGCCCATGATATGAGCGAGGCAGACTTGTCGTGGGAAGCGTTGCAAAAGTGCATATCCGACTAAGAAACCTGGTTGGTTAATAGAGTAAGGCATTCTGAACGTAAGATCCGCGATGTTTGCATATGTTTTCTGTAGTCTCACATAGCGACTGATATCGAGGTCTTCCCTGCCATGAGACGCAGGGAAGTGGCAGCGCAACGTACGGCGTGTTGTTGATTGGCCTAAAGGATGATAAGATACCCGGCCACTGCATGCTCCCTAAATGTTCACGATGTTGATGTACAGCCAGAACGGACTCTCGGGGAGAGAGCTTGGTTGTATGAAGAACATCCACCCGTTATTGTCAGGACTCAACGTGGCAGCAGGGTACCCGAAGCTCAATGGACGTCTCGCCGACTACTGGTCTACTTGAAGATGCCGTAAAGCTTATATTCGGATCTAATAATGGTCATCAAGCGATCAGTACACATAGACTTGGACTCTTCTATTGAAAGCACCTACTTTTCCTCGGAGTGAAGGGAACGCCAGATAGTGCCATTTCATCAGTCAGAGTTGGGACGAGGTGTCTTTCTGAGGTCTTTAGTTAGAGACGTCATGGCGGAGTCTTACAGCAGTTATGGCTCCTTTCCCGGGGTTGGTGATTTTCTGCAAAAGCGTGGCCGACAGGATCAAGGCCACCGTGAAATGGAGGCGGCACCTGGATAATACATGTAGATTCGTTGTCTCAGACGCCTTTTTGACAATCTAAACCATTATACTGCCAACTCTCTTTTCCTAACCCTTTTTCTTTACCGAAGTCGCTTCCCATATGCACCCAGGAATCGACCCAAACGCCATGCAAAACCCCACGCTCCATTTCTCAACAAAGATACTCAAACCATATCATAGCTCTCTGGAAACAGAATCGCATTCGCCATCCCAACCAGCGCCTTCTCCGTCGGACTCCTGCTCTCCTGATCCTCCCAAGGCAGCAAACCCATAGCCCTCAACCCGTCCTCCCCACCCGCGTCGCTGACCTCCTGCGTGCCAGGTCGGCCTGTGTGCGTCGTCTCCCCCTTGCCGCCTCCAAAGTCCGGGCTCGGCTGGCCGAGTAGGAACGCCTTCCGCTGGCGGGCGAGGTACAGCGCGTTGGTCTGTGTCAGTGGACAGGCCGGAATGTAC